AGTGCTTTCCTTCCACATGGGCGGCGAGGGTCCTGCCAAGCCCAGTGTGCCTACCCCATCTGTATGTTAAACAGGTACAGATGGGGAAAGGCTGGAAGGTCAACGTTTGAGATGCTTTCTCAGTTACAATAAGCACACGCTCTTAGAGCTTGTCACATGGCCTGCAGCTGCAAACCCACTTTCACAGCCTATCTCAGTCTCTCACACACCTGCTCTGCCACCACCAGCACCCAACTTAGAGCCAAACAGGAATTCTGCAAGAGCAAACTCCTCTACCACCACAGCAAAAACTTCTTAAGGGGTCACTCTGATTAAGTGTAGACCCAGTTGCACAGTTGCCCTACAGCAAGGGGCACCAGGAGCATCTACACCATCACAAATTCCCCTGTTGGTCTACTCCAAGCCACCCCTCAGGATGACACTTCCCTGTCACTCAGTTTGGCACCTTCTCTGAAATTCCACAAAGTATTCAGCAATGCAGTCTTCTTGGAAAAGGAAAGCAGAACTAAGCCATCAAGAACAATGAAACAGCTCTGGTTGAACACAGAAATGCATGAAAACCTGACAGGGATCAGTGGAGGAATAAAGGAAGGTTGTTTTCTAATTATACCTTAATTTTAAATGGAGAAGTGTTGGGGTGAGAAGCTGCAGGAGAGATGCCTCAGTCAGCAGAATGAAAGACAGCCTCTGTGACTAGCTTTCAGATAAGACATCAAGAAGCTGATAGCTCTCCAAGACCCCGAGAAACCACACTTACAAAAATATACACAGGCGATTTGCTTCGAAAAGTCTGTATGGGAAAGGCATTTGGCAGACGAGAAAGAATCAGAAGCTCTTCCAAGAAAAGTGGCTCCATGTACTTAAAAGTCACAAATCAAACCAGTTGGGCCTTGAAGCTTCAAATTTACTTTCCTCTTTTGTCCTCCTCATTGCAGGCTGGTGCCTTGGATTGCTACTGAGTGGTTTGGTGGGACACACCATGGAATTTATAGACTGCAAACTTCTGCTAAACACAGCTAAAAGTCACTGTGAAGCCTCAGTGACTGCCCTTTAAAATACGTAGTAGAATTGCCAGGGCCTGTACTACTTAAGATACCCAAAGGCTTGAGTCCCAGGGGGTGTTTATAGAATGGTGTTTGCTTGACATCTTGGGAGCTTGGGAACACCACCCATCACTTAAACAGGAGGAGGTGGTAGGGAGAGCAAGAGGCTAAAAAGCCAGAGTAGTGTAAAAGCTCTTCTGAGAGTACTGGAAATTTTTGGCATGGTCAATATCATATTTGTTTTACATATTGTATAGTCTCCTTTAACATGAAATCCATAATTACAGCAAAGCACATCCTCCACATGGGAAAATAGCTACAGGAAACTTTGCAAAGTCACTGGCTCAGGATGCTTCCTGCAAAAGAACCAACTTTATACTACAATGCTGGGGGATGAGGCAGAGGGCTTCCCACCAGGGACTAGAATTTCTCTGTATTGTGTTAAATTACTATCTAAGCCAGTGACAAAAGGATGGCACTCAAACCCAGGTTATTTCAAAGTGCAGCTACACTGCTCCTGCACCATGGCAGAGAACACCACTCTGTGTATAAAGAACTGCCACGTTACTCTCTTCTAAATCCCTCAAACCTGTCTCTCTCACAGTATGTACAAAGCAGTCCTGTGCAGCAAGGGCTGGGAAACCATAAACTAAAAAATTCACATGATCTGCTCCTTCCCATACATTTCCACTGGTGCTTCACCCCAGCAATCTGCTCCCAGCCCCTCTGAGGGATGCCAGTGTTCTGGGATTTACTCAGATTGTATCTATTGAGATAGAGCTCTGATTTTGGGGGGGACCCTTAGATATTGTTAACAGGAAAAAAACCAAACCCCAATTAAGAACAAAGCATTTGAAAGTCTGGAAACTCTGAGCTAAGAGTCCACAGGCAGCTCTCCATCTCAGCATGTCCTGTTCTTAGGATAGCCCTATCCCTGTAGCCCAGCCATAGTTCCCCCTATGCTATATAAGTACTTTTCTAATAGAAACCATCTGTCCTCACAACAGCAGCTTGTTAGTTGCTTTAACAGGAATTACTGACTACATCAAAAGCCATTTACCTAGAAACCCTCCCAGGAGGACTCAGCTTCGCTACTCTGTTTTGTCTACCACCTGCAATTCAACCTCTTCTCCCAGATTTGCATTATGTCAGGTAATGGATAATATCTTCATGTCACCCACTCTGTATAGGATCCTCAAGGTATCCATCACTGTCTAACACTCCACAACACTCTCTAGGCAGGCCACAAGCAATTCTTGCCTTCCTTATTCATCCACTGTTTTGATCTGGGCTTGGTACTCATCCAGATACTGTGACCACTAGAACCATCTTCTCCGTGCCAGTTCCAGCTGAAGTGTGCTTCAGCTTGCTTGGAGACTTTTTATAGCTTCTAAAAACTCCAGTTCCACAATGCTCATAATGAGCTGAATGAAAGGCACTTCAAATATTCGAGCAACTGCCTATGATACAGATGACACAGGCTGAAGTACAGCAGGGGTTGTCTGCAGAATCTACATTCACATTTCCAGCGTTTTGAATACTTTGCTACAAATTATCTTTTACAGTTCCTCTGTTTTTAAATCTGCTATTTCAAATCAATTTATATCTACAGTGAACTAAGGATTTACACAGAGAAGCAACTGTGTTCTTGTTCATTCCAGATTTACTGTCTTGAAGAGCAGTTACACTTGCACAGTTTTTCATAAATACCTACTGCTGCTTCAGTCCCCCAGTTCAGTGAAGGATCAAGACTTGCCTTTTGGAACAGCTGGGACACCTCTGAAAACCCACTGCCAGTTGATAAGCCAGCAGCAGACCCTCAGATCTGGGACAAAATCAAAGAGCCATGGCATAATGTTCTGGGCTGGGGAGAGCAGTTACCCACTTCTCAGTCAAAGGACAATGTTCAGCATTATCTCTTCCAGTTTATATCAACACACCAGTGACAATTGCTACCTGACAGATGAACACAAATGGAAAAAAACCCACACCAAAACAACACCCTTCCTAATGTAATGGTATCTATAGGTAGATATTGTAAGTAATTCACATTATATTGATATTTTCCGTTGCGGAGGAGTCAGCTGTCCCAGGCAACTCACTGGCCTAAGCAGACAGCAGCTATAGTTCACAGGCTGCCTGCTGCAGTGGGTAAAACAACTGTCTGTAAGCACACTTGAGTAATTGCACCAAGAATTTCAATTCCTGTTAGGCTTGGAAAATGCCTTGGCCCTACACAGCTCATCAGAGGCAGAAGTATTGAAGCAACAGAGCGGTGAGGCTTATCGGTAAGAGCGCACTGACGTGGTGGTCCTTCCATGTGCTAGTGATTTCAGGAAAGAGTATTTTAGGCTTTGTGTGCTTCTGAAAAGCTTAGGGCAGAAGGAGTAATGGCTCAGTCAGATGCTACCTGCTATTTGCTCAAGAAGCTTTCCCAGCATGAGGAAGATCTACACACTGGGACAAAGGAGGTGCAGTCATGCATGCTGGTGCAATCCAGCTAAAGAGATGGGCGATGGCACCATCCAAGACAAGAAAGCAGCCTGAGAAGTTCTCAAGAAACCTGGAGACAAAGCCCCTCCCCTAGCTGGTACCACATACTAGAGGGGCATGCTGCTGTCCTCCCACTGCTGCCACCTGTGCTCTTGCTAGAATAACTTGTCCAACACATTTGGCACATCCTCCTTTTAACTGTACCGCTGCCCCTCCCAGTGCAACCAGCAGCCTGCCCACTAGGGCTATGGTCCCAGCAGGTCTTGCTGCCCAGTCTTGTAGAATAACAGCTCCCCTGTTTCTCTCCAGCTCCCCCAAGAATAATCAACTGTGCCTGCCTGTTAGCTTTAAGATATGAATAAATGCAGGTGAGGTTCCTACTGAACTCACTTGAATGCCAGTGGCTGTGGAAGCACTGGCACGCAGCAGAATCCCAGTACAGTATTGCCAGTGGTGAGAAGAGCCTCTGCAGACTGCACACAGGGAGCTGCCACTAGTCCCACAGGACCTGCTGCTATGTCATCAGTGAAGACAAAGTTCAACCAACAGAACTGGAGCATGCAACCCTCTCATCCCTCAACCCCTGAGCCATGCCACCTCAACATCTGACTTTGAATCAGTGCTTTCTGATTCACCTGCAACTTGCAAATGCCAAATCCAACTCCATAGGCCAACAAATGGCTCACACTGCAGTAATCATTCCCTCAAGGCAGCCTCTTGCTCCTCCTCCTCAGCAGTCAAGAGTGGTCAGGAAGCCTGTGGTACTTTCTGCTTTGCTGCTGCTAAGAGGTGAATATAGCCCAGGGTCAGAGAAAGAAAGGTGGGGACTTGGCTCCTCTCCTCAGGCAGCAGGGCAGTACAGATTTGCACAAAATTTGTTCTACTGGGCAGGTGCTGCCCCACCTGCAGCTGCACTGGTTGTGCCAAAATAATTCTAAGATGACCAGTTATGCCATTGTCTGTTTTCTAGAGCACACATTCTCCTCTCAGAAAGGCAGGGAGAAGGGTACTATACCAGCAGAACGGACAATGCCATGAGTGTCCTGCCCTGGTTTCAATTCCTGGTCCTGGTTTCCTTGTTCCCCCATGATGACAGGAGCTGGAAGTGCACTCAGGCCCTGGATCCAGAGGGGTGGAGGTGGGGGTGAGAGGGAAAGGAGTAAGAAGACAAGAGAAGGAGGAGGACATGTTATGCTCCTGAGCAATTCCCACTATTAGGTCAACCAACCATCAGGTTGTGTCTTGGTTGCAGAGGACAGGCAGGAGGACTGCAAGTCATCCATCACACATTGCCTCACCTCTCCCCAGTCCCCCCAAACCCTCACCCTATCCTGAAAGATTTCAGTGTGATATGATTGTAAACAGTTAACGATTCCTCCAGTGCTAAGCCCACTACGAGCTGGGCCCACCCCCTCCCCCATTATGTACAATACATTCACCAACAACAGAAATTTATTTAAAAAGGCAACAGGTTAAATTCTGTAAACTGGATCCAGCTCCAAAACACACACGTTAATACTACGAGTAAAATTCCATCATCGTCCTCTTCCACCCTGAAAAATATACCTGAGTTTCGCAGTCAATGAACGTTTCTGCCCCCGCCCCCTCCCTCCCCACCCAAAAAATCCCTCAAACCCTGAAAGAGACGCAGTCTCCGCTCACGGAAAGCCACTCTTGCTGTGCTGGCCCTGCGGCGTTGGGCCAGCGGCGCGGCTGGCTGGGCCCAGCACCGCTCCAGTTTCCAACACAACAGCTGTCACGGCACCATGCTCCACACACCCAGGAAGCTACATGCTGCTCGGAGAGGGGAGGGTGGGAGGAAGGCCTGTCCCTCCTCCCCGTTGTTCAAATCATGTGTGGCTTTCGTCTTCATGAGGTCCTTCCTTCCTCAGACTAGCTCTGGAAGAGGAAGAACAAAAGTTGGAGGCTTTAACCGGTGGCTTTAGAAGGGAATAACTGCATGATTTCATGCAACCAGTTCAAAGCTAACACTACCAATTCTGCCTAGGTTACGTTTTACAGTCAGCTAAGACTGTAGAGACATTCCCAACTCCTTTGCACAGCAGTAGTTCACTTCCCAGCTTTCTCCAGTTCTTCCCACTCTCCTCAAACACTTTACTCCTTTAACCAGTAGGAGGAGAAAGATTTGCATTTCAGCTCTGCTCCCTCTAGCAGCCCTTACTTGATCCAGAGGCAACGCTGACGGTTTTTGCGAGGTCAAATCTTCCCGGGACATGGTTGCTGTAGGCATCTTCGGGAAGGGAACTTGAGCCTGATGCATTTGCATTCTGGAGCCAGGTTGAATGGAGAGAGTTTTAGCACATGAATATCAAGAGCAAATCCCTACTCTTCCTTGAAACTACTTCATTGAATACATACAATCAACATTAGCATACAAGCATGCAGTCTTGTGTATTCTTCTGTCTGGTTTCCCCCCAAAACACAACCCTTAATCCATGCCACTCCCCCAATGGCTTAGCTATAGCCAAGTTCCCTGAATAACAGAAGAAGGAAGAACTGTCATGCTGTGAGGATGACAAAACAGTAACAGTTGAAGCATATCTATAAAAACAGAACAGGGAATTTCTGGAGTAGCACAGTTTTCCACTTGGGAATAAAATGTGATATTCACAGTCTCATGAGAAGTATCTTCGCGTGAGGGAAATTTGAGACAGAGAGGAAGGGCAAAGCAAGAGAAGGGGAAAAAGAAGGCAACACCAAAGGAGTTTGTAAGGAGGCAAACTTCCACTTTAGTCAGTTACTCTGCCCTGCTATGAGTGCGATGCAAAAAAACACTTGCAAAGAAAATGGTAAGTGTCCTTTTGATTGAGATGCACAACCCTGGATGACACATTAAGGAAATACAGTCAGACGAACTAAAGTACTGGTGTGGGGATGAATGGGACAGGCTAAGAGGTTCATCTGACAGTGTCTACTCCTTGTTTTAAGGAGATACAATGAGACTCTCTCTCCATCTTAAGAGATCTCTCAGGCCAAGGATCTAAGAGATAACCTTTTAGCTTTTCAACTTTGCTTGCCATCTCCTCTGACTTCAAGCCATATCTTTTCAAGGATATCTGACACTGATCGTCACCCAAGCATCACACAACCCCTCCCAACCTTGCCTTGTCGCAGAAAACATGATCTTACCCAGAGGGTCTATATAAGTCCTGGGGTGGCCCCCCCATGCCACTTCCACTGCCTCTCTGCTCCATCAGCAAAGCCTGAAAGTGACCTACGTTCTCCTCTCGGCAGCGGTACAGGGAGCCCTCCTGAGAGAGCCCGTTGGCCTGGCTGGAGGCTGGATGATGAGACAGGTGAGCATTCATGGGTGATCCATATGTCCTGGGCTGGAAGTGACTGGCAGGATGCCGGGATCCATAAGGAGAGCCAGTCTGTAGCATCATGCCATGGGGAGGGAAAGCCGACGGGCCGAACCCCATCCCTGCACCCAGGTGCGGTGGGGGAGCACCGTAGAGGAACTCCCCCGCTGCCACCGAGCTTTGGCTGCATTGTGGTTGTCCAAATCAAGAAACTCTTTGGGACTCTCCGGTCTTTCCTGGGACTCCTCGGACTTCTCATCTTCAGGCCCCAGATCCTGCCCGTCGCTTGGAGAAACCTCTTTGGCACTTGCTACGTCCAT